CTCCCTTTCCCTAGGATATGTCTCTTAATGTACTTCAGTGATTCTCAGTTGGTTGCCACAACACCTTGGGGTGCTTTGAGTCCTTTCAGGGCTGTCATGGTACTGGCAGCACCACTGTTGTCAGGTGGAACTGTCCCACACCCCTCTGGTTTGGGGGCAGGGGGCTGTATAATCATATAAGGAAATGGCTGTGGTAGGAGCATCTGCCAGCTCCTGCCACAGCTGTTTCCCAGTTCTGCTCCATATACCTCTCCTGAAAACAGGCACCTAGGACAGTTCCACCTGGTGATGATGGTTGTGGCATAGCAGTATGGAGATCAAGTAGGTAAGCTGAGACTCTAAAACAGTGGTTCTCACCTGGAGTGCTACCAAGTTCAGAAGGGTTATGGAGGGGTACCTTGAGTCTAAAAAGTCTTTAAACTACTGACTTACATAGTTTTTCCATTTTTTTTTTTTTTACCTTTCAAATGTAGTAAGGTCGTGTGAGGCTGAAATCCACTAATTATTGTGATAGTCATATATGCAGATTGAATAAGAGTTGCAAAGAAGTTCTTTCCGGTAATTTGGCAAAGTGGGAATGTTGCACTAGTGACACACATTTTGTGGGTGAAATGTGAGTAATGGATATGCCTTAATACTTCTGTTAGTTAAAATACCAGGAAATATGATTTTTCAAGATTGTACTTATTGTTGATGGCTTGACTTGGTCAAAGTTTGTAGGATGAGGATGTAAAATCATTGTTCTTCAGTCTGCAAAATCATTTTTACTTTTTTAGTAAATTTCTGCCTAGCTCTCCCTTCCCTTTTGCTACTTTCCTATTGTGAAGATTGTGTATATCATTTCTTTATCATTTCTTGTTGCACGAGAGAATAGGAAACTTTACAGTGGAGCAGGAGGAGTGACTTCTTTATTTTTCCCCGTTCTTACATCAGTTGTGGTGCAAATACTTAAGTTTTCCATATACCTGAACTGAAAATACCGCATTGACTTGATTCTGAGGTCCTGTCCCCCTCTTAAATATGGGGGGAAGCTTCTTGCCTTAGAATTGTGTATGAGGGCAGGGCGGGGTCAGGCAGTGACTGTGGCTTGGACTCAAGCCCCTACCTGAAGTTGGGGCCATAGCTGCAGCAGGCAGCTATGCATGGCATAGCTCCAATGCGGAGGCAGGCACATGCATGGGGGAAAGCTGTCTGCCTCTTTCACTGCCTGCCCTCCTTCAGTGCTGGGAGGGATAACTTGGAAGACAACCCTCTACTAATTAGATTCTATACCTTCACCCCCTCCCCATGGGACTAGGTTGGGGCTGGGCTGTCCCCTGCTCCCATCTGTGTGTCTGGATGGGTTACTCTATGGTGCTGCACTCTCCCTGGGCACTGGTTTGGGACTGTTGGCCCACAGATGGATTGGGCATTGTCCCTCCATCTCACTAGGCAAAAAGACTGAGCACCAGTGCTACAAACCTCTGACATCTAATCTTAGTACCTATATCTGTGTGCAAGTAGTAATGCTAGCTTTTTTGTTATAAATAGGAATCATGGTTCAAAGTCAGGCCCCTCTCCTCACATATTCTTTTGATTCTTTGGCAGCATTGGCTATGTTTCTGTTTCTCTTTATATGGAAACATTTCACCCATTGCAGTCTTACAACTGTTTAAATATACATCTGAGTTGTACTACTGTAAGGGTCTTTGTTTCCATTTTAAATGGAATTAGTCTAATTAAGTGGAAAAACTCTTTATAGCTTGATATTCTGTATGCATGTATACTTGTATACAGTATATCTTATGGAGCTAAAGAACTATCTAAACTAAATCTGTAGTACTGGTGGAAGTGATGTGATATAAGAATTTTGTAAAAAGCCTTTGTAGACTAGGCCTATAGGTCTGCCTACCTACTCTACTGAGCATGGTCTGAAAGGCAGTGAAATAAATGAACTAACTAAGGGGTGCTTAGCGCATGCTCAGTTCAGGAATGTATTCCTATTTTTAAAGAAACATTATGTGACTACATTGGTGGTTGGCAACCTTTTCCAGTTGCGACAAAGTTGGAGGGACCCAGCTTGGGTCTGAGATGGGTGGGTGCTAGGACCCATCCACAGCCACCACTTCTCTTCATAGTAGCACTGATTGATTGTCTCTTAGAAGGAGTAGTTCTATGACACTTCAAAATTTTAATGTTCATTAAAATCCCCTAACCAAAATTCCTGGGATGACTGAGAACTTTGCTTCAAAACACTAAAATGAACATAGCTTCATATATGGCCTTTTAAAAAAAATCTGAATTAAATTCCATACGTTTTCCTTCTATTTAATTTACATTATCTTCAAAATGTCATTGTCTTTTTGTTTTATAGCTGTCTGAAATATGAGTCTTACTATTCACTTGATAAAAAATGTCAGGATGGGTGTAAGTGAGTGCTTATTTTTGTTTAGAGTTCTAGTTTTTTGTATGTATTTTTGTTTGGTTTTTTTTTATTTGC